AATAATAATAATTATAATAATAAACAATAAAACGATGTATTATTTCTTAAAAAAAAAAAAAAAGAAAAGAAATTTATTTCAAAAATGAAGGACTAACAATGTGAGAAGAAGGTAAATGAAATGTAAGGAGAAATGGTTTAGCTTTGATCAGACGTATGTTTATTACAATGGTTTTCTTCCTCTGTAATTTTCCCTGGAAAAATTCTTTTGAAAATAGTTTTAAGCATAATTTAACACCAAGAATGCTTTATGAAAATTCGTGAATTACAATACATCCTATAAAGAGATTATAATTTTAAAAATTTTACAATAATAATAAAAAGATCAAATAAATAGATATAATATTAATATAATATTAATATAGGAATGTATTGTTTTGAAATTACAATATTTTTACAATATTCTTTCTTGTACGAAAACATACTTTAATCTTACCTTATAGAAAATTCCTGATCTCATAGAATTAAACAGATTCTCTTGGAGTTAAGATTATGCACACTTTGGAATATGGAAATTATATGAAACTTGTTCCTCCAAGACAAAGCACTTTCAATCCAGATAATCCTTCTCGAAAATTCTATATCACATTGTTTTATCAATGTACAAAAGTTACTTAGTTACAATGTGTCGTTCTCAGCTTATATTAGTTAATGTTATTATTTAATTTAAAATTGGTAAGTACATATATGATATAAAATTAAAAAAAGTTTAATTAGAAATTAAACTATGACATTAATTTTTATTCTTCGTGTATAATATTCTTTGTTACAAATCTTTAACTGTACAATGATACAATAAAAATATTCAATTTTTATCGTATCATGTTTTATTACGATTTTTCTATAATTTTCTGTTTTCAAGAAATAGATAAAATTTTAGTATCAATCAATAAGAGTTCTTTGAAAATGTGTATATTGCCTGAAAACAAATTTTTTGGCAACTTGCCAATTATTTTAATATAATTTTCCATAACTTCGCCAATATCGAGGTTTTTTTATCCTCTACGAAGTTTTATATTTGAACATTTTATAGACTACCACTTTTTAAAAAAGATGAAAAAAAGAAAAAGAGAAAAAACGAATTCTTTCTCCGAACTAAAAAATCCGCCTCAATATTTAGTTCAAAAAATCGTTTTCACTTGTACAGTCCTCATTCCAAATTTCTAGAAACTAGAAATTATCAGAGAAATCATTCAAACGAGAAAGAGAGAAAGATGGAATAAAAGAAAATAATAAACTTCCAAAGAAAATCGTAGAAAATGATGGAAAATTGTAGAAAATCGTGTTCGATGAATCGTCTGAAATGGCACCACTTACAAGGGGCTTGGTTTGAATAATGGAAAATGGGATTAAATCGTTAAAGCTTTGGCACTGTGATCGGTGAAAGCTGATGCAGAATATTCCTTTTCTATTCTTTTACATAGGGATGAAAATTCTTTTTTTTTTTTTAATTATTCTGAAAACAAGTATTTGGTAAAAAAATTTTTATTAGTTTTTTTAATTTGGCAAATGTGAAAAATGAAATGTTAGAAATAATGTTTTTTCTACATATTTAAAGAGAAGATGCAAAGATAAAAAGATTGCAAAATATTGAATTCATTGAGAATATTTTTCGATTCTTTTTTTTTTTTTTTTTTTTTTTTTGTTATATCGAGAAGATTTTTTTTGAATGATGGAATTTATGAATATGATTTATGAAATTTAGTTTTTGAAAGAAAATTCAAGTAAAAATCTATCATTTCGTATTGAAAAAATTTTGAATAATAAAGTAATGAAATAATTTAGTTTATATATATTTGTGAATAAAAAATATTTTTATCGCGTTGATGAGATGAAAAAGAATCTTTGATCATCATAGAAACAGACAATTCAATGTTTCTACGAATAAATAATGTACTTGACAGTGAAGAAGATCATTTTATTTATTTATGCAAATGATGTTACATATCCTTGAGTCTTTTTAAACATGTGACTCCTAGAATCATCTGTTTAGCCAACTCTATATAAACTGTCTCATATAGAACATTTACACGTTTCCTTAATGTTTGGGTTATTGAACAGAAAGCTACTATATTCGCGAAATATCTCGCATCAAAGAGTTACTTTTAACGATCTATTTATAAATTTCATCAGATTTCAAATACACACATTTCAATTAGAATTCATATTGAATAAGTAGAGAGTTGATTCGAGATGAAGAAAATTGAAGCTGATTCCTTCGTATTTTTATTCGTTTTAAACATTATCTATTTATTATTATCAAATCAATATCGATTACCAATATTCTTTTGACCGTATAATTCTACACACGTACATTCGATTCGTAAATTAACATAACGAGTAATATTTTTAAAATTACTCCATCTACTATTACCATATCTTTTTTTCTCTTTATTATCATTTTTTTTTAATTCTACGAATTATCAACTGCAAATATTCACACTTCTTCCCCTTCAACTCGTAAACATTCATCCCACATTTCCATTTTCACATTATTATACAATTTATTCCTCATTCGAAATGATCATAACTTTGACCATAAAAGCACGGATATCAGTAAGGATCGTTCGCAGGATTCGCACGAAAAATCGAATAGCTCTGAAAAGGTGAATATTTCAACGAGTTTGAAAAGTGAGTTCTCCCTCGAAACGCGGTTGGACGCGTTTGACGGATCGATAAGGCAAGCGAAAGGAGGGAATTCGACTCGATCAAAGTTCCGTCTCACTATCAACATTGTCACGTTCGACGGCGGCGACGATGATCGGGATCGCGCGGTCGGAAAATGGAAACGGGGAATCAATCGGGGAATCGTGCACACAGGGGATGCTTGTTGTTACCGATCACTTGTTTCTATCCTATCCGAATTTATATTCAGAATCGGTGTTCGAACGTGTAAAGTTTGAAAGAGACAAATGGCGCTGTGATCACGATATTGAGGATGAATTTAAATATATTTTTCTTTGCCTTGTGATGTAACATCCACGATTGCGTCAATTGTATTTTCTCGATTCGGTGATAAATGGTAATATAATAATTCGTTTGATGATAATAATTCGTTTAATTGACGAATCTTTGTAGATACTTTTTTTTTTGGTATAAGTCAAAAATTTCTTTTGATTATTATCTGATTATTTGATTATTAATTGACAACAGATGTGAAAAAAAAGTTGTTTTAAAATTTAGAGAAAAGTTTTGTGTATAAATCAATAAAATGATAAAGAAATGAAAATTAGTTTAAAATTTTATTATCTATTAATATTTTTGTAGACAGAGAGGTGAGATGATTGATATATAATGATTAAAATTTAAATAAAGTGCAGATTACAATGAGCAGATTATTTTGATTTATTTTGTGATTTTCAAAGAGAAGATAAATTATTGTGTAATAATTCTAGAATATTAATGGGGATTTGAAATGTATTGTAAGTATTGTTTTTAATTACACATAGCGATGAGAAGTGTGTTATTAATTTTGAAAATGGAAATTATTACTTTTGAAATATATTAGAATTTCTATTTTTTTTAATTTATTCTCTTTTCTAATTTATTCTCAGAAAAGGGGAGGTTTTATATTTAAGGAAATTATGTTTTAACAAATGAATGATGTAGTCAAAATTAAAAAAAAAAAATAAATAGATAAAAGGAATTTTTTGTATACAAATTCGCGAATATCGTTTTAAAGGAAAAATAGATAGATAGAGAACATTTCAGTATTTCAATTTAAATGATAATTCAAACACACAAAAGACGTTAAAACGGTTCTGACAAGTGGTAAATTCGTAAGTCGATAGCATATGAGAAAACAGAAACATACGAGATATAACAGAATTTTCAATTTCAGTTATAATACGTGAAAAAATTAGGAAAAAATAGGAGAAAAAATTTAAAAGTTTAATTTTCAAATGGAAATAATAAAATTGATAAAAACAGCTATAAAAAAATTTTTAATATTTGAAAAATAAATTTCGTTCTCTCTCTCTCTTTTCCATGAACGTTCAATTCTTACAAATATTATATTAAATGGAGAGAGATTATAATAAAATTTAATCGTTTATTTATAAATAAAATTGAAAGGCTGTTGAAATTTTATTTGACAATTATTTAATATTTATTACATATAGAGATAATAGAGTGATACAATTCAATATGTATGTAAGTTTACCTTTAATATAATATTATACTTGATATAATAATGATATAATATTATTAATTACATTAATTTCATATAAAATATTAATTAGGTATATGATTGAGTATTGATAATTTAAGAATAAAATACCTACTAATGATAATTATAATTATATATGGAATACGAAACGAGAACTGACATATTTATCGTGAAATTTGTCAAATATCAATTAAAAGCAAATGAAATTTCAAACGAGTAAATATCATCGATAAAAGATAATACAAGTGTTACATATTTACAGTATATGATACATATTTATGTGATTATACATTTCAAACAATAATATAATTTAGAAAATTACAAAATTAGAATCTCTCCTTCCTTCTCGCTTATAATAAATCATCGTTAAAAATCACACCAAATTTCATTACACTAAAAATCAACCACAAGAGCCATCATCTACTAAATATTTCTCCAAGAAAGAAAAAAAAATATCAAGTCAAATTGCAACAATAAACAAGATCCCAACAACCACAATTATCAAAAGTTCACATTTCAACTATCTCTCAATTAAAATCTCTCCTTTCTCTCGTCGTCGAACAAAGCAACTCTAATCCAAATCATCGAGATTCAACAATCGATTCAACATAGAAATTCCAAGAAAACACTTTTTAGAAAAGCCTATCGACGTTAGATTAACGAAAAACAAAAATCTCTCCAGAAGGATCACTCCAATGCATGATCCAATGGACTAACCCAGCCAAAACCGATCCAAGACGTCGACGCGGCCACATTCACGCAGATGCCCTCGATTTCACCAGAGAGGACCCAATAAAGACAAGCTATACCCAGATCAGCTGTCTTGTTGAGCGATGATCGACTCGTCGACGACGACGATCGATCGCGCGGATCCTCACGAGGCCGTGATCGACAGCTGTTACCAGGATCTTTTGCTGTTGGTGACGAACGACAGCAGCGCGCTCTGCAACGGATCAGGATTGGACGTACTGAACGTCACCGATCTACAGATTGACTCCGTGAACGGAACACGGTTGGACGTTGACGGATTGAACAATTGGTGGGCGATGCTCGCATTGGTCCTGGTGTTGGGCACAGCAGCCGGGAATATTTTGGTGTGCTTGGCCATTGCCAGGGAGAGGAGATTGCAGAACGTCACCAATTATTTCCTGATGAGCTTGGCAATCACGGATCTGCTGGTCGCCGTGCTTGTAATGCCTCTTGGAATACTCACTTTGGTCAGAGGTAAGTGCTTGGGTGGGAAAGTTTGAAGAATAATAATATCGAGTATGTTTGGAGCAATTAATGTTATTAGGAGACACACAGATTTTTATATTAGATTTTATGTTTTGCGCGATGACACGAATACAGAATTTGGTTATAAGCATCTAAATAATATAAAATCATAATTCAACGAAAGAAATTTTTTAAATGGATCTTGAGCCTCCAATGTATCGTTAGTAAAATCGTTGTAAACGATATTCTTTTAAAAATCTATCTATTTATCGTTTAACTTACTTTAATGGTAAATTAAACTTATTAAAATTTGGAAAAATTTGAATCGGTATAACTTCGAAGATATTGATTTTCGATCAATGAATATGAACGATCATTGGAAGCATAGAACTTCCTCTTTAAAACGCATTTTTATTTATCTCGATACGATTTCTGGTTTCCAAGATATCGTCGTGTAAAAAAAAGGATAATTTTTAATCGCTTATTATTTCTGTCCTTATCGTTTACTCGGAGTTTCGTTCACGCTTTGTTTCACCTATTCCAAACTCCAGACAAATGTCGAGACACGGTTCTTGGAAGAACACGTATTTTCAAGAAAAAATACATATCAATGGATCCACTCATAATTTCTGTACTGTCTTAAGTACTATGAAATCTTTCAAACTTTATATCTCGAAAACTGATTAAGATATTGTGATCAAACAAAAAGAGTCTTCAATAATTTCCTCTGTTTTCTGAGTGGGTTTTAATTAAAAAATTTTTAATTTCTTCTCCCGTTTTTTACATGAAAATTCGGAGTTTCTTTTGTAACTTTGGGCTTGAATGCAATGATTTGTTGTAATGTAAAGTATATAAGAATATAATTTTATCTTTTATTGTATTATATTATTATATTAATTAATATATAATTAATATAATAATTAACTATATTAATTGAATATTCATTTTTAATTACGTAAAAATTCGCAGCTTCAAACATCTAGTTTCAAGAAAAAATAGTAGAAGATTTCCTTTTGTATTTGATATAATGTCGTTTATTTATAAGAATAAATTTATATAATTTACGATTTTTCGTAATCAACACATTTTCATGGTGAGAAATGTCAGGAAGAACTGACAGTTGTTCGTGTTTACTCGATATCTCCGGATATTCTTCCGATCTTCTTCCGGAATTCTGTCACGAAGCAAGCAAACTTGGAATTCCTGTAGCTGTCAAATAGTTTTGACATTCTATACTATGGCTATCGTATCTATGACATCTTTAATAATAGTTATCTTATATAATATTAGATTTTTATTCTATCTAATGTTTACTATTATCTATGTTCCATTAAAATACTGAATATAAATTTATATATCATCTTTTAAGATGAATATACAAAATACATCTTAAATAAATATATTATGAAATTCTTGAATGAATAAGTAATATATCCAAGAATTGTAATTATAATCCGTTTTGATTAATAATAATCAATATAAACTTATATAAACTTAAAAAATAAAGAAGAAGCAATTTTTAAAATAGATAAAAAAAAATTGATATCAAATCGTGCATCTTTCAAAAGCATTAAATTTCGTTTGAAATGAAAACAAATTCGTTATTTCTGATGTCATCAACAACAAATTTATTTGCTATTTGCATATATTGAAATAAAATTGAAAATTAATTAATTATTTAAATAAAATTGAAAATTAATACGAATATTTTTAAAATAGATATCTTTCAAACTAAAATGTATTGACATCTTTTTAATAATTAAAAAATTAATTAGCTACGTAGATCTCATCTAGATAAAATTTATCGAGAATTGGAATATATAATACGAACACTTTTTGAAATTCATGGTAAAATTATTGTCCTCGTATGTTCTTTAAATATTCTATTCAGGTTTCTACCGCATTGCAGCCATTTTCATAGATACTTGAAAATATCTCGATAATGTATCGAAATCTTAAGAATATGCGTGTATCATCGATGAATACCAAAGTATTAATATACGTATACATTATCTTCTTTAAGAAGATAGATAAGCTCGAGGCATATCGAATGTCTATGATTGTTTCAAATATTAGAAAACTATAAGACATAAGTCTATATTCAGATAAAACAATTAGTTTTAAAATTATACCATATTAATTTAAAACGAAAATTTCATTTTCCACTGTTTCTTAAAAAAAAATAGAATGTAATTAATGATAGATAACCTGAGAAAAGTTTCTCAATGCAAAAGATTAAACATTGTGCATAATTATCGGCAAAGTTATCTTTCATCAAACGATTCCAATACTTCTTCTTCCAATAATGGCGAAATTTTCAGCACGATGGTCGCATTGGAATCCAAGTTTCCTTCGTAACCGAGATTACACGGAGATTAGGGGCTCGACGAAGATTCAGCAACGCACACGAGTCTATCTATGTGCTAGAGTTCCGGTGGCCACGTCACCCATTTCCGCTCTCCCATTTCTCAAACGAGAATCGATGGTGTTCCTTTTGTTTAAATATTGCCTACCATCCAGATCGAATTGTTTCGTTTCTCATTTTTACCAATCCGTCGGATGGATTCCATTGAAGCTGGGAGAGAGAAAGAAAGAGAGAGAGAAAGAAAGAGAGAGAGAGAGAAAGTTCATTTTTACAGAGATCGACTTGGAGAATCAATTCTTTCATTTGTGTATGATTTTTTCTTTCTTTCTTTCTTTCTTTCTTTTTTTTCTCTCCAAGTAAATTAAAAGTGGAGACGCAGAAACGGTTGAATTGAAAACAAAAATGTCAGAGTGTCGAAAATAATTTTAATTAACGAAAGAATGTTCAGCCAAATGTTGGTTGGTAAGGTGTTGAATGAGTTTTACACATTATCTTGCGAATCGACTTGCAATAATTTCATTATCCTCGAAAAAAAATTGATGATACGATTTGTAGCATTATTTCTAACTATTTTTTCTCTTTATCAACATTCGATTCGTTTTTTTTATTTTCAAAAAAGTTTTTTAAATGAAAACTCATATAATTTTTATACGCCTATCTCGAAATATATGTTACAAAGGAAATTCTGTTACAAGGAAGATGTAGTTTACTTATAAATGAGATCTAGTGGCACAAGTCCAAGACCATCTATTTCGAGGTTTTGGATCTAGACGATCTTCACAACTTTGCTCCCTTTGGATTACTTTTCCTCGTTTATAGCAAAGTTACACGAACATGGATTTTTCAATAGAATCAAACATAAACCGTTCAAGTTTTCAGTTTACCTTTCGAGACTTATATTTAGGCTCTTATGTAGATATCGCATAAAGATGCGAGAAACGATCCTCCAATAAGGGATATATCGTAATCCTTTTAGAACTTGGTACAAAGCGAAACATGTATTAACATGTTCAAAAAGGAATAAATAAAAATATTTGCCTCATTTCATTCTTTGAATTGGCTCCTTTCGATATTCCCCTTTGAAAGTGTATCAATATAACGTTTTTAATATCAACGGTCCATTGATGCCTGGTCAATCGTAATTTACAAAATATGCAAATCAATCGTAAAGTATATATTTTTTTTATCCGTGTATGATTTATTCAAAGGCAATAAAACCTTTTACAATTTGTCCGACAAAGTGTAAATTTTGACGTGGGTTAAAAGTGATCCAATGTCTGCTAATAATTTAAACTATAAACTTAAATTTGAAACTATTTATATGAAAAAAAACTAAATTATCCGTGAATGGTTTATCCTTTTGCAGCGAATTTTTCCTTTTGCAGCGAATTTTTCCTTTTGCAGCGAATTTTTCCTTTTAAAAATAGATGATCCCAGCCTTTTAAATGGTATTTTCCGCAACGTCGCGAGAAATCGTGATGGTAATTGTGCTTTTCTCGCAATCCTGCCGACTAATCCATTATGCATAAGAAAGCTTGGTCGACGACAAGCGATCTTTTGCTCTTCCACCTGTCACGCGAGAAAAGCGATCATCTGTGAACTAATTATCTGCAAACAATTCGAAAATTGACGTTTATAATCGATATTTGGTGACTCTCGTTCAATTTAAATCCGAATTTCTCGAACTTCCTGGCAAAATGATTCGCATTCAAATGATTTGCAAAACAATTTCAATGTTAAACGACGAATTACACTTGAAAATAATCACAAATATTTTTAATAATTCGAATTTATAATATAACTTTCGAAGAAATATATCTCTTCATCTTAAATTCGAATTTGTCAAAATTTCAAAATTTTTTCATTCTTTCACTTCTCAATTCATCCAAGAATAAGTTTAAATAACGAACCAACTCGAAATATCGTATATTTTTCAAATTATATCATATATCAATAACTTGGACTTTTTCAATTTTTTACGAGCAATTTCCAAAGCATTACGATGTTCCTCTTCAAAATTGCAAATTACGACCACGAACGAGTGGATATTCGAGTTAATTGGCAACAATTCGCTCGGAGAAGTCGATTAAAGAAGGATAAGAAAACGATGTTGCGACACAGGAAACGACAAAGAGACAAATGGCGTATCCGTTTCGAGGCCTCGAAATTCCTATACACGATATAGGGAGAGTAATGTTAGTAGAAATGTAAGTGGCCAATTTGTACCATCCTCGTTCCTATTTTTCACCCATTTTCCAACCTGAATGTTTTAACAATGTGATACAATTGGTCGCAAAAGTATTTGGCCATGTATGATATTTGGTGTTTCGTGTAAAATATTATACTGTCGAACCTCGAAATATTGGAAATATTGGAAAATATTGGAAGATGATAATTTTATTCGTTCTCTTCTGCTCGAAATTCTACGAGACGAAAATAAAATTTAATTCAAATCGAATTAAATTTGTTATATGTTCAAATTAGTGAACATTTATCGATTGCACTTTCAATTTGGTTTCAAAAATATTTGGATATTTATCAAAGTCGTTTTTTTTTTTATTGCAGATAACGACATGACTTTTTCGTTACTTCAATTATAAGATTTTATTTATAATTTTTTTTTATCTCTTTCTATATATAATCC